GAGCATCGGAGCTCGCCTTGCAATCAGAAGGTTATGGATTCAAACCCCAGCGGGGTGTGTGTGTGTGTGTGATGAAGAGTCGCAAACTAGGTTGACGAAACAGCTAGTTGTCCAGTATTGTCCTGACTGATTTTCCAATGGTTCTCTAACTGATGTCAGCTCATGATGAAATCCTCCAATCGATTTTTCATTTTAGAAAAATAGAAATTTAACTAGATAAGAAGGAGTTGCATACTGCTTTAACCAACATCCTATATACACACACACACACACATGTATACGGTTATGTAACTATAAAAAGGGTACAAACACACACACGCACACACAGACTCATAGACACATAGACATACACTGAAAAATTATATGAGTTGAACAACAACTACAGAAAAATAAATGGATAAATCGACAACAATCTTTAAATAAAATGTTTTTTGTTAAATTGCTTTAATTATTATTGTAATTTTTTTCTGAAAAACTTTTTAATACATTACATCAATGCATGCTTGCTTGCTAGCCAAAATCGATAACAGAGTTATGTGAATTGAAGAGGGAGAAAGGAAAAAAATAAGAGGAATCATTATTTTCTCAAACATTAGAAAATTAGAACTTTCATTTCAATGACTCTAAGCGTGGTTGGTATTGTTTCGCCTGTTTATGACTTTTCAAACAAGGTTAAGGACAAATAAACTCTTGCATATGACTGCCCCCCGCCCCACCCCCCGCTTGAATTCACCTGCTTCTGTGCAGGTAGGTGTATATGAGTTGTTCTACGTGTTGCGACCAGTACTGATTCGTTCGTTTTAGTCTGAACTTAGGGAATCCGTTTTTTTTTGTAGTCTGTTGTATGACTGTTCGAAACTTCCTTGAGAGATACACAGTCACAAACGCGTCAAAGACAGTAAAAAGACGATAATTCGTCGATAAATCTATGTGATTCTCAACAGTGTTGTTGGACAGCTCGATATACAGAGAAGGCAACTTCCTAAATACAAAACAAGTACGTAGAATCAGGTGGAATATACCCCAATAAAGTGGGACTACCAAATAAACTCTGTCTACAAGAATCACGCATCAAAAAATCCCACAGACAGTCCAAAATCAGGATCATCTACATTCATCCTAACAATTTACTGCACAACTACAAAAGAAGCAGTCAAATTAGAGATTGAATAGGGACAAACATGGACAATAAAGATCAAGTCAACCTATGATATATACAAATGTCAGAAGAATGCAGTGATATACAGTGTAGGAGAAAAACTGATAATAATTATTGTGTCAGATGAAATCCTCCCTGCAATCAAACAAACAGATCCCTACAAAACCAATACTTGAAAATTGATCTGATGCTCACTAGCGACTGGCCCTATTCAGGTAGGTAGTTACTTGGGGTTCTAGTGAAATTACTGGCAAAAGTAAGCGATGTAATGTTTTTCCCTCTTGTGATGTTAATGCTCTTAATCTGTCTTTTTTACGCTCTCCTTCTACTATAACCACTTCTAACGTTACCAATCTTGTAGCTGATAACTTCCAGGACTTCAATACTCTCGATGTTTTGAAATGTCTTAAAACTCTTAAGCCCTCACATAGTCTTGGCCCTGATAGCATACCTGCATATGTTCTAAAACAATGTGCAGATGCTTTATGTTCTCCTCTAACTAATATACTAAATGCTTCTTTCCGTGAAAACGTTGTACCTGTTCCATGGAAAGACATTAAAATAGTCCCTGTCCCTAAACCTGGCAATAGCAAGAACGTAAAGTTCAGACCCATCGCCATCACTTCCCCGTTTCTAAAGCTCATGGAAAAACTAGTACTTCTTAAACTCGAACCCTCCCTTAAAAGCTTCGAAGACCCCAAACAATTTGCCTACAGACAGGGTAGGAGTACTTTAGACGCTGCAGCCGTCTTACACAACAGTATTATCTCATCATTAGACAAAGGTGCCAAATATGTCCGCTGCACGTTTCTTGACTTTACTTCTGCTTTCGACTCTGTACCTAGAAGTCTCTTGCTAAATAAGCTCTCCATGACACAAACCGAGTCCTGGGTCACTAACTGGTTGCATTCCTACTTTTCAAACAGAATGCAGTACACCGTATACAAAGGCCAATCCTCCTCTGCTGTGCTCACAGAAGCTGGTGTCCCCCAAGGTGCTGTACTCTCCCCACTTCTCTTTTCTTTCTTTCTACATGACCTACCGTCTTCAAATGACATTAACTTTGTCAAATATGCTGATGACCTAACTGTGTCTTTACCTGTCAAATGTCAAAGTGACTGCTCTAAACTAAATGGCTTCTTATCGGAAATTAGCCAATGGTCCAAGGAAAACGGTCTAACCTTAAACCCCTCCAAATGCCAAACAGTTAATTTCACCCTTAGGCATAAATCTGACCTAAACAAACTGGTTAGCACTCACGAGGTGTGCAACATAGATGGCAGTGAAATAGAAACCAAGTCGGAAATTAAATACCTAGGCGTCACTCTATCTTCTGATCTTTCCTGGTCGTCTCATATCTTGACGATTTCCAAGAAAATATACCGTCTTACCTTCTACATCAAGAAGTTAAGACATTCTGGTGTAACCCAACCCTTACTCCTACAATTTGTTAACTCCCGTATTCTGCCTATTATTCTCTATTGCTCCCCCTTAGTCTTTCCTGGGCTATTGAAGAAAGACTATACCTTATTACGTAGGATGTTAAAGGTTGTCAGCAGGGTAAGCAGCTTGCCACTTAGCCAGCTAGTTAATATTCTGGTGGACAGGCATATGGACTCATGTGAAAAATGGGCGAAATCCATTTTATCTGACTCACAACACCCTCTACATTCACAACTCTCCCCATGTATCTCTTCAGGGAAAACAAGAAGCCTATATAGGAAACTATATGCCCGCACTAGTAAGTACAAAAACTCATCCATACCCTACCTAGCTCGTGTTCTGTGCGATAAAGAATGCATCAGGCATGAAACCTTTAACTTATTAAATAGTCAGTAGAACCAATGGATCTCGTCTTTCCAACTCACATCATTTATAGGTACAACGTTTTCTCGCTCTTCATTCTGTATTTATTTTTGTTATGTGCTGTTTTGTTTCTCTCTTCCTTGCAAACTCTACTTAAAACATTCTTGTTCGTTCTTTCACACTCTGTACATCTCGAACATTTTGCTATCGCTTACGCCAGTAAATATGCTAGTAGTATCTACTTTTCTAACACCTTCAAACACTTTAATTTTGGCTTTGCTACCGACATACTAATATGTTGTTGAGATAACTTTAAACTATGTAGAACTTTATTTATTGTTAATGTAAAAAACTGGATGCAATATTGTAGTAAAATGCTGAGAATTCCATTCTGTATCACAAGTACTGATTTGGAATAAAGCTTATGTTATGTTATGTTATGTTAGTGGCAAGCCGTGTCTAGTAGGGTCCAACAGGTCGAAGATGAGAACAGTTGCTAATCGAAGAAGACATCGTGAAGTGGTCGCACTATGTCATGAATTGGCAAAAGTCAGAATTCATGGGCTGGTGATTGGATCGGGTTCCAGTGGCTTAATGGTCTACAAGCGAGCTCATCTTGTAACCAGAATGACCTGGGCTCAAACCCTAGCGGGGTGGGTGCGTACTGATGAAGAGTCTCCAAGTAGGATGGCGAAACAGCTGGCTGTCCACCACTCCGTTACTGTTCTCCAATGGTTCTCCAACTGATATCAGCTGATGATGAAGTGCTCTAACTAATCAATCAAAAATCCCTACGAAACCAATACTTGAAAATTATAATGTCAGTTGAAATATCCAAATAAGTACTAATATTTTGATTCAATTGTTCAGCAGAAACCTTCCAAAACATTATTCCCTTACACTATGTGTATCCTGTGGAAACAAGTCAAAGAACATTAACAAGTATGACTGTAAACAGACGTCAACCGCGTGGATCAAAAGTGCTAGAAGTGAACATCCTTCACAACATATCAACTGATTAATCATTCAAAGTCACTTATAGAACAGTGGCGAGATTTCTACCAAGGACAGTTTGTTTTCGATATTTTGACTCGGTAGAGAACTTTGTATGGAGAAGTTAAAGTTATGCGTGTTCAAATTAATCAAGGTGACCGGATATAACTATGGTAACTAGTAAAACCAAAAGGTATTTTAGATAATTAATGGAATTATCGGTAAGAAACCTTGGACATAGGTTTCATGGTTGTTGGAACACGTGAGTAAGACTTGTTTGCAAACTTGAAAGAACTCATGTCCCCTCTATGATTTATTTCTGCACTGCAATAGCAAGCCATCTAGCTTGGCAACTGATAAAATTCAGTTTGTATTTCCACTGAAGGCTAGACACATTATTATTATTATTGTTCCCTTGAGGGCTTCAAATGCACGTCTCCACTTGCTTCTGTCTTCTGCTGTGCTTTTCACCTATATACATCTTAGTCCATACTGTTTCAACTCCTCTTCACACGATTTCCTCCATGTCACCCTTGCACTGACGAACAACTCGCCGCTTCTCTTTCGGGTTCTACTCGAGCAATGGCCTGACGCGCGCGCAATGTCACCCAGCGGCCTCCTCAGCCGCAAGTGTTCAATCCATCTCCACTTCCTCCTGCATATTTGTTGGGCTAGACACATGACACTGATTATACCAAAGTGACCAGTCAATGTATGCATTAGAGTTCGGAAGGAGGTCAGTCGTGAACCCGAACAGATTAATGGTTACACACCAGTGACTTCATAACAGGGTATCTCAAGTTCTAATCTCAAAGGGAGCATGAGTACTTTCAAGATTTCTATTCTTAGTAGAGGAAGACTATCTCACACTACTCACTGGTGATCCAGGCACACACACACACACAAATGACGAGTCTTAGTTAGGACGAAACACGAGCACCAGATTCCTTTGCCAGGCACCACAAAATGTAAAAATAAAGTATTGTTCAACTAAACTCATAGAAAATATCACACACGCACACACACACACACAACTACTCACCTTTATTATTGTACACATCTAAATAGTTTGGTGCTGAGAAAATTGTGATCAGTGCAGGAAAGCCAGTTTGTCTGCTCTTTCTGTACATACGATAACTATTTGTTTTCGTTTTGTTATTTTGATTGTAATAAGTAATGAGAATTTCAGAAATATAAATAAACAATTAGATAATCAAATAACAATCTTATATTTTTTTTAAACAAAAACAAAATCAGAAAAGGAAATTTGAAACATGAGTAGTGATCGTTTGTAGAAATTAAATTATCGTGTTATGAGGGTTTTTCCATTCCTCCACCTGAAGTGTATTACTTCCATTTTTTATTTTCAAATGTCAGTTAGTTAGTTAGTTTATAGGGATTTGATAGGTTTCAAGTTTGAGCACGGATCGATATCGGTTTTGATAACCAGTGACTGACTACAGGACTACGTTGCCTGAAGTTTTCTAGTGAGAACTTGTGACCAGTGGCCTACACTAGATCATGTTGTGAGGAGGAATATTCACCAACGGCATAAGCTGGCGGTAGTGACGCTAGTCATCAGTCGATGGAAGCTAAAACTGATGAGCCTGTAGTGCACCTTGAATGTTTGAACTTTTGTGTTACCTAACGATACAACATGTACAAACTGGTGCCAAGGCCATTTTTGTCTCACTCTCCTCTGCTTATGTAATCGACAGTTTACATTCTCTGAGTCAGCTGTTTGTACACAGCCTATCAAACGAGTGCAGTAGAGAATATTAGTTCGTCTGTCTGTAGAGAAGGATGAAACTAACTGTATACCTGCTAATTAGCTTGGAAATAGATGCTGATTATAGACAGAACCAAAAGCCATACTTAGAAGTTGATATTCTTCAGCAGTCATTTTACCGATAAAATACCTACATTTTAATAGGCTTTGTCTAAATAGCAAGCTATAAACGAGCATCAGTCAAGAGTCTATACTGTAGAGCTAAGAGAATATGCTCTGTACAAAGAAATTAGAGGAAGAATTTATGCTTCTCGAAAAGATATTGAAAAGCAATGGTTACACCCTCATAGGTTCATTAACAAGTATGAAAGATTTGAAGGCTTAGATGTCAAGCAAATCACAGTGGAATAAAAAAGCCCATCTATATTCAACTTATACATCTCATCTAACGGTTGTACGACAATGCTGAATGCCAAGTAATCCATAACGCGAAACTTACGGAATCCTTCGAAGTGATGATGGGAGTGAGGCAAGTCTGTCTACTATCGCCAATTATCTTCCTGATTGCAGTAGATTGGATAATGCGACAGACAGCCGGCCGCCCAATGAGGAAACAGGCATCAAATGGACTCACAAAAAAAGAGACTTGGAGGATCTGCACTTCGCCGATGACATATATATGTCTGATTTCCCACAAACTGGAAGATATGGAAGTTAAAAGCAACAAGTTGTCAGCAGAAGCGTCAAAGATAGGACTTCATGTGAACATAGAGAAAATACAAGTGATGATTCCTGGCCAACACCAACAGACAACAATCAGCCATCATAAATGGGAGGAACCTGAAAGAAACAACCTCATTTATCTAGATAACCAGGAAGCATCGTTTCAACTACAGCCCGACGGAACTGACGAGGATATCAAAGCCAGAATCGGAAAAGCGAGACAAGCTTTGACTACTCTTAAGTCTGTGTGGAAGTCAACAGAACTCAGCGTGAACGTGAAAAATAAGATCAGAATTTTCAACTCTGATGTGAAGTCAGTGCTAATATACGGACCAGAGACTTGGCCGGCGCGTCATAAACAGCATCTCAAACAAACTTCAGACCTTCATTAACAGTTGTCTTCGCTCAATACCACTCAAGATCAGATGGCCAGAAAGGTCAGCAACAGAAATATCTGGCAGTGAGCGAACCAACTCAGCAGGAACCGATTGTGAAACAAATATGCAGGAAGAAATGGAGATGGATTGGCTGGCCATACTCTGAGGAAACACGCCATCAAGTGACATCACTAGACAAGCCATCGCTCGAGTGGAACCCGAAAGGGAGGCGGCGATTTGGTCGTCAATGCAAGGGTGACTTGGAGGAGGTCATGTGAGGAGGAGATGAAAGCATGTGGGGAGACGTGGAGCGGGGTGAATAAGTTGGCAGAAAACCGAACGCAATGGAGGTGAGCAGCTGAAGCCCTATGTTCCTCTAGGAATTAAAGGATATAATAATAATATTCAGCTTGATTTTAAAAGTAAAAATATGATAGCGATTGTCAACAGAAGATTGAGAACGTCACTAGGTATAGCCTATCCTGAAGCTAAGCTTCTTCCCATCTATCGAACAACTTGCTCTTTGGTGTAGTCAAAAGTTGAGAAGGGACCCTTCTCATGTTAACTCTGGCTGTGTGTCTATACCAATTTACAGACATCTATTGGGAGTAGTTACGTCGGGAAAACATGAAGAAGAGGAGCATACCCAGGATTTTCCGAACATTTACCAAAAAGCCTATGTCTAAAGGGAAGAAATGCTTTAAACAGTGTCATTGTCAGGCATCTCTTCTTGGCGATGCACCTCCTTGGTTATGAGGTGGGCATCGCAAGATCATTCAGAATTATCAGAATTACGGAGATGAACTCAATTCTCCTTAAGTTTGCCAAAGTAATCTTCATCAAGCGTCGGAAAACGGCTCTATGCGTTCATTCTTTCCTTGCCCAGCCTGGTAACCTGCATATTTTTTTCCACCCTTTCTTTCATCTGATCACGTAATGCCAAAAGTTTCCATTATGTATCATCATAATTATTGTTCGAGACAAGGTGCTTATTATTATTATATATTATTATTGTATGCATATATCGATTGATTTCTGTTTAGAAATGAACTCTGTGCAAGTATGTGAAAAATTGTTTCTATAGATATACTACTTAATAATGAATGACTTTGATGTGTAAACAGTTGAGGTGATGAGAAGCCAATAAAGGAAATCAGCAATGATGGTACCATTTTATTATTCTGTACAAACCACACTGTTGTTCTTGCTTTATTCAAATTCATTAAAAAAAGAGGGAATAAATGCATCAAAAAAGTATGCATTCACTAAGTTGATTAATGCAGAGAATTACATTCTGTGATATAGGTTGAAAGTCAGTAGGTAGGAAGTAGTAGCTGGTGGATGCAGCTTAAGTTATATTACTTCAACAAAACATACACCTAAGAAATAACTAATATTGTCCTCAGTAATTATTTTTCCTTTTAAGATCATTTTGAATAATTTCGAATACTTGCCTCTACGATCCCATCATATATATATTCTGATGAAAAATGTCATCGAGTGAATATCTTCTCCTCACTCCTTCCTTATATTACAAATTTTATTCATGTAACTGATATGTATCCACAGGATGTGTGTGTTTTGTTTTTGACAGTCTATTGTATTTTGCTATGTGTATATGGGTCGATATTTCATTATAACTTGACAATATGCTTTTGTCTGTCCACTAACTAAATAAACAATGTATGACCTTGTTATCACATGACATTACAACCAATCATGATAAAATTGGTCTGTCTATTGACTCATGTGTATTAGCCATTTTCATATATACTTTTGTATTAGACACTTGTTCACACTTGTTCCCACGTTTCGTACACTACGTACCATTTCACTCACACACTTGTGTGACATTTATTTTCTTTGTCTGGAAAATACAAGTATCATCTTAAACCTGATGGTCTTCTGATTTCCGTCTTTCCGCGTCAGGACTAAATAACTACTCGACGAGTACATAACATAATTGCCGAAGGGGAAAACTATACTATTAACCACTCAGCAGCAGTTCATAACAGTAACATATTCAATAAATAAACGCGAATGAAGCTAAAATATCTAGAGAAAAAAGGCAATGTCAAGTCCAATATTTCTGTATTAAAACATATCTTCAAATATCATCAGATTTCTTAAGGTATTTATTTCCAGGATAATCAAACTTTATTGCTCTTTAAAACTTTAAACAAAACAGAAAAGTGAAAGAAAAAATAATCTTCAAGGTATTGAGTTTTGTAGGGGTTTTGTTCGATTGGTTGATTGGAGGATTTCATCATGAATTGACATCAGTTAGAGGAAGAACCATTGGGAAATCTGCAGGGAGTACTGAACAGCTACCTGTTTTGTCAGCCTAGTTTTTGGACACTTCAGCAGTATGTCATGAATAGGAAGAAGTTAGAATTCATGTGTTGGCCATCATCGGATCGGGGGTCCCAGTGGTCTAATGGTCTACGAACTAGCTTGTTGACTTTGTAACCAAAAGGTCCTGGGTTCGAACTCTCTGTCGGTGGATGCGCACTGATGGGGAGTCCCAAACCAGGCTGAAGAAACAGCTGGCTGTCTAATGCTCTCTACAGGTTTTCCAAATGGTTCTGTAATTGATGTCAGCTCATGACATTCTGGAAGCAGAATTAGATATTCTAAGAGAAATCTTCATCAAAAATGGATACCCAATAAGATTCATTCACAAAAATATCAAACCAAGAATTCGGAGAAACGAAACTTTCATTGCGCCTAAAAAGAAACTCTTTATGAACTTGGATTTCAAGGGAGATTTAGCAAGCGACATTCTCAAGATAAGGATCACATCATCTCTGAGAAGAACATTCTTCTTGCAGCAACGCTAAGAATAGTGTTCTCCAGTCGCCCACTGATCTGCAGAAGCCTCATGGACAAGATTCCACATCTGACCACTTCTATTACTTCACCTGTTGCTGTGGAGCCAGGTACATCAGTCGCTCGACGAACACCTAGTCCAAGAGGATTCAAGAACACTATCCAGCACGGTGGCGGAATAGCAATAGCGGTGCTTTAAGTAAGGCGATAATTGAACACCTGGTTAACACTGATCATTCTATTTTAGCAAACGCCTCCTGCTTCAAAGTAATCTATAGAGTCAAGAATAACCTATCAAAGGCAATACGGTTTCGTCTCCTTTGTATCGCTGAAGCTCTAGCCATTCACATAGAAAAACCAGAGCTGTGCATACAAAACAAGACTACTCAACCACTTCTACTGTCATGGTAACAATGTTTTGATTTGATTTGAGTTTTTGTATTTTGATGACTTAGTTTTGTTTCTTTGTCTGTTCTTTAATTGCTTATAACTACTGTATCCACTTAGATCTCTTATATAATTTCGTATTATCTACTTTGTTTCTATGTGCATCCTGAGTAAAACTCACCAAACTATTCATATTATTATTACATAACTTCTTTTAACAACTGCTTGTGACAACTCATCACTTTTGTTACTACCCTAGTTTCATTAACACTTCATTTTCTTGACTTGTATTATCAACCTTCACGTGTTTAGTAAAAAGTAACCTTAACCAAGTGTAATCTTGTTTGACAAACTTAATGTACACATACATAAATACAAAATATCACATATATATATGCGATTGTGCAGCTAAGAAAATGAATTCGCCGCCTAAAAGAGACTCTTCACTGATCTACGTGTTTTGTTTTCATGATGAAATCCTCCAACCAATGAAACAACGACATAAACTAAAAATTGGGTCAGAATAAACATCAGAGTTAAATGTTAGAATTATCACAAAGGTCACACTATATATTGCAGAAAATCAACACCAACAACAACAATTCGATGAGTATACCTACCCGGCATCTTGAGCTTCATGAGCACGTATAATCGATAGTAAATTATTAGCTTGTAAGAAATGACAGCATGCATTAAAACTGTAAAAATATGAACATCCACGAACAGTATTATGACTAAAATGTTCTGAATTTCTTTCTTGACCAAAATCTTCACATGGATCAGCCCATAATAAATCACACATTGCACCGAATGCTGGAGGTTCTTTAAATCTATCCAACTGTAAAAACGGAAAATATTCAACAACAAACAAAAAACAATTCGTAAAGTCACACATATATATATACGTTATTCTGAAAAAAACGTGGAACTCAGAAGTTCCACCATATCGTATACTACTAAGAATAATATAAATAAGTGCCCGTTAAACGAAAACGAAATCTAATTAAATTACTTGTCAATCGGATCCAACGCACTGGTAGTCCTGATGTGGTGAGAGCAGGCTGCTAGCCAATTGGTAGACATTAATTTACGTCAATGTCTAGGTCACTAATACTGGCCGTGAGAAAATATGAACAAGGCTGATTCAACAACCAATCACGGCAAACTTAACGCGGGCAAATATGATTCGCAGATAGATGGCTCCACTTTTCGATGTTACCCGAAACAACCAATCAGAAGCCTGCGTTTGTCCGCTTAACTTCCAAGAAACGACCAATCAAAAGGCTGCGTTTGTCTACTTGAATAAGCTATAATAATGTACGTGAAATTTATATAAATACTTGTTGATTTCCGTAGTAAAACGATCTGTTGCCTGGCCCTTGTCTTCTGTTGTTACACTGACACCTTAGAAGCAGAATTGAATCTTCTTAAAGCAAACTTCATCCAAAATGGATACCCATCGACAAGAATACTAAACCAAAAGTCCAGAGGAACGAAACATTACTTGTTTCGAAAAAAAATAAACTTTACATGAACCTGGATTTCGAGAGAGACTTGTACTGAAATATCCTTAGAGGGGAGAATTTTAGCATCTTTGAGAAGAACATTCTTCTCAGCAACACGTTAACAGTAGCATTCTTCAATTGTCCATTGGTATGCAGAAGCCTTAAGAACAAGACCCGGCATCTGACCACTTATATGTGCATATATGAGTTCACGTGTTCCTGTGGAGCCAGTCGGGTAGATTGGTCGTTCAACGTGTATCTCGTTCAAAAGGATTCGACAACACTATCTGGCATGGTTGCCAGAAAAGTAGCAGTGGGTCTATAAGGAGTGAGACAATGGAACACCTTGTCAACACTAACCATTCCATCTCAACAAACGCCTCCTGCTTCAAAGTAATGTACAAAGTCAAAAAATAATCTACCAAAGACACACACTACGCTTTCATCTCCTTTGCATTGTAGAAGTATTAACGATTTAGTTGAAAAAAACAAACAAAATAAAAATCATTCAACCACTTCTACTATCGTGGCAACAACTCTGTTTATTTCTACTGACTCTGTTTTTTTGTGCCTTTCTAACTCCTTATAACTCTTGTATTTCTACACAACTCTTACGTAATTCAACATTTTCCTTCGTCTCTATGTAAATCCTAATCAAAACTCACTCATTGAATTATTCATATTGTTACGGCAACTATAATACACTCTTATGCATTCATTGACTAATACTGACAACTAAGTTTCTTCTTTGACAACTCATTACTCCACTACCCTCTTACCAATCTTCACCCCCAACACCACCACCACCACCACCTCAACTAGTTACAATCTGATTATTCATCAACTTTTTTTTAAAGAAGAATATTTTGATGACGTTAAAACAACAAACCTAAATAATTTCTTGTCTGATAAGGCCAATGTATATATATATATATATATATATATATATATATATATATATATATATATATTCAAAAACAATTGAATATAATCGCAATTGTACAGCTAAGTGAATGAATTTTCCGAAAAGAGACTCTTCGTTGAACACTATGCGTTTTGTTATTCATCAACGTCTGGATGGGAATTATTCATGAATTATTATTATTCATGAATTGATGATGATGACGGTAATGATGATAATAATAAAGCTTTATTTAAGACTGTATGTGAACACATAATACAGAAGTTCCCAGAGTATTCACTTTCAAAATATTTCATCTTTATTACAGAATTTACAAGTAATAATCTGAAGTGTGATAGAGAAGATTTGTACCTCATGTAGATGATTTTGATGTAATTGTGTTCTCTTAGCTGGAAGGTCATTTTGCGAAGCTTTCATCACACTAATAGGTGACATCTTCAGCGAATACTTCAATTCAATGAAGTGAGCTTTTAGATTTCTCCACGAGTTTATTAATCATCTCTCCTGATAGGTGACTTTGGACGTCGTGATTGGTTGGCTTTGTGTATTTTCATACCTTCTAGGCAGCTGCTTGTATTGGAACTGGTTGTTTCTTTGACTTCTACCTTGACCCCTTGTGTGTGAAGTTTCTTTCTTATCGGTTGATAAATTTTGTCTATCTCGATGTGTCTATTGATTGATGATTCACTGGAATGCCAGACAGGCTTCTAAAAATCCTCTAGCATTCTTGTTGTTTCCTCTGCCTAATATTTAAAAGCTGGTTATCCCAGTCGAATCGATGTCCGTGGTTGTCTGTGTGTAGTGAAATGAGGGAGTGGATATCATGTCTTTTGACGGCTAGTTTCTGATCATGGATACGAAGACGAAGGGAATGTCCACTTTGGCCAATGTAGTGCTTTTGGCCGTTGTTACAATTTCTTTTTGTAGATGATGGTGGTTTTGTCTTCTTTCGATGTTGAGTATTTTGGTTGACATAGAATTGAGTGGAGCGACTTTGTTGGTTTGTGTACGACGTCAATTCCTAAAGGTTTGAAGAGTCTTGTAGTGATTTCTGAGGTATCCTTTATGTCTAGTAAGGCGGTTTTCTTTGTGCTTTCCTTGGGGGGCTTTTGGTTTGATAGGTTGGCTTGGGGGTATATCTCATATCACTACATACAGACAACCACGGACATCGATTCGACTGGGACAACCAGCTTTTAAATATTAGACAGAGGAAACAACAAGAATGCTAGAGAACTTTTAGAAGCCAGCTTGGCATTCCAGTGAATCATCAATAAATAAACGCATAGAAATAGACAAAATTTATCAACCGATAAGAAAGAAACTTTACACACAGGGGATCGAAGTTCAAGCCAAAGAAACAATCAGTTCCAATACAAGCAGCTGCCTAGAAGGTATGAAAATACACAAAACCAACCAGTCACAACGTTCAAGGTCACCTATCAGGAGAGATGATTAATAAACTCGTGGAGAAATCTAAAAGCTCACTTCATTGAATTGAAGTATTCGCTGAAGATGTCACCTATTAGTGTGATGAAAGCTTCGCAAATCAACCATCCAGCTAAGAGAACACAACCACATCAAAATCTAAAGTGTATCATGTGATGTAGTATTATTGTGGCGAGTGCTACTGATAACTTTTATAAGTAGCATATAAAGAGACATTCATCGACTAGTATAAAACAACATCAAATAGCAGGAAGATACATTTAATTTCATAGAAGACAAATGATACAGCGTTGTAGAGATAAGTGGAAAACGTGAAGTTCAAAAGTACCAAAACACGAAAATCTGTCCAGATAGTGCGTTGAAGATAAGGTATACATAATATGACCGTTACCAGTAGGGTACAGCAGGTTGAAGAGAATGAGGTAGTAATTCATCGAAAAAGACATTGTGGAATGGTAGCGCTATGTCATGAATTAGCAGAAGTTAGAATTCAAGGACCATTGGATCAGAAGGTCCTGGGTTCGAACCCCGGTGGGTGCGTACCGATGAAGAGTCCCGAACTAGGACGAAGCAGCTGTCCAAAACTCCTTGACGGGTTTTCCAGTGTTTCTCTAACTGATGTCAGCTCATGATGAAATCTTCCATGCAATAAAGAGCGATACCGCTTTACATTGGTACATACGACGAGAGAACCAGGTCTCTATACCCTTTTTTTCATTTCCTTCAACAATCTCAGAGCCTTTTGCTGAAAGCTAACCAAATACATACACAATTTCATGTAGTGACCATCTAATATAATTTTATGAATAAAACAATAAGAAATGAAGAATAGTTTAGGCAGCATTTTGATGGATGGACGAAAATTCTGATGCCTCAATTATTTAGGCGGGTTGCATGAAGTTACTTATCTCATGGATACAAAGATGAAGAGGACGTTAACTTATGGGACGATGTAGTCATTGCAACTTATTTTGTAGATGATGTTGGTGTTTCATCTTTTTTTTCGTTGTTAAGTCTTTTGATTAATACAGAATTGAGTGGAGTGATTTTGTTGGTTTGTGTGCGACATCAATTCCTAAAGGTTAAAAGAGTCTTCCAGTGATTTTTGAGATGTCTTTTATACGTATGGTAGGGTGATTTTATTTGTACTGTCCTACGGCGCCTTTTATTTGGTAGGTTTGCTTGAGGGTAGGATGTCTTTTGATGAAGTTCCACTAGTTACTTATTTCATCATCCGAACTCCAGTGGAACATGGTACATTTAAAAAGATGTCAAACGCTGAATAGTACTAACCAACAATGTTGTTAGGCTACTTAAATGCATGAGACTAAGAAACACAACACCTCACTGAAATAATGTTAGATAACAATTACCCAGTGAGATTCATCAGGCGTTAAAGAAGTGTCAACCAAATAGCTCTACCAATCCAATCAGCTACCAAAAAAAGGATGTTTATATATCCGTGCCGTTCATGGGTGATCAACAAAGTCTGGTCAGTAAACAAAGAGTCACGGTAGTATTTAATAGAACTTACTACGCAGCTGAATCTATCTTCATAGGCAAAATGAGATCTATGCTGTCTTGTATACCCACACAGCATCAGAACGATAGTGTCATATCCCATTGTGTTTATCAATTTACATTGTATGTGTAAACACACGTACATAAGAAGGACCCATCGGTCTTCGCAGGTTAGGACTACAGAACATATCACAAGAAACAAAATCGCCGGATACATTTTTTGATCCCGGAAATAGATGTCCAACATCATCTATAGAGAAGCACATTCTAGCGACAGGTCATATGGTTGATTTCAATAATGCCTTTACACCCATATGTATAAAACAAGGTCGGGTCATATACTTAAATTCTTTGAAACTTTCACCATAAAAAGACTTAAGCCCACTATTGTAATACAATTTAGAACAATGGTTCAATGGGTTGCGCAAATACACATTACAC